TATATATATATATATATATATATATATATATATATATCTTTTGGTGGTTTTGATTTAGAGGGTTGATTAAGGGCAAGGGTTTAGGGCTTAGGGTTTAGGGTTTAGGGTTTAGGGTGGGTGTTTGCTTCAGGATGTGGCTGCTGCTGCTGCATCTGCAGCACGAGCGGAGAAGGGAGGAGGGGGAGGCAGCAGCAGCAGCACTGACAGGAGGTGCTGAAGCAGCAGAAGATTCTGTGCTGCTGCTTGTTGATGCCTTGCAGCGGGGCATACACTTCTGGGGGGACCCTGTAGCAGCTTTGGCGTCTCCTTAACCTCACTTACTGTCTCCTTTTAGATAGCTTATAGTAGCAGCAGCTGCTGCTGCTGCTGCTGAAGCACTCAATGTCTCCTTACTGCTGCAAAGGCTGCTGTCGCCTCTTCCTCGCATGCATTTGCTGCTGTCTCCTGCCGCTTTATTAACAGACATTTGTTTTCTGTATAGCCCCACACAGCACCTGCTGTCTTCTCATCTAACTAGATACCTTTGCTGCTGTCTCCTTTCAGCAGCAGCAGCAGCCTCTGCAGTCACTGTCTCCTTTTTACTTGTGTCTGCCTTCAGTCCCTAAGCAGTTACAGCTGCTTGTAGCAGCTTCCGTGGGGCCGTTAGTAGCAGCAGCAGCTGCAGCAATTGCTGCTTCTTTATACATTATTGCTGCTGCTGTGTCACTTCTGCTGCGGCAGACTTCTGCTAGCTGCAGCATGAGGAAGCCTCTCAGTAGCAGCTGTCGCAGCAGCAGCAGCAGTAAGGCTGCTAGTGGGCTAGTGTTTAGAGGTTATACGTTTTATTACTCTTTAAGGTTTAGGGTTTTAAAGGGTTTAGGGTTTAAGATAGGGGTTAGGGTTTAAGAGAGGGGTTTAGGGTTTAACAGCGTTTAGAGCATAAGATGATCTAGGGTTTAAGAGAGGGTGTAGGGTTTACAAGGGTTTAGGGTAATTATAAGAGACTGCCCTTTAAAGAGGTGCATGCAGGGCCTCTTATGAAGACACCCGCGATAAAAATAAAACAAAAGATATTTAAAAGGTAAAAAGTTAATTAGACAAAAAGAGACAGAGAGCGAAGAGACAGAGAAGGGCTTTTTGTCTCCCAACACGAAACAAAAAGTAGCATAGGAGACAGATCAGCAGCAGCAGCAGCAGCAGCAAAAGCAGCTTATTTTAAAGCCAATATACCCGCAAAGGGGCTGCTGCTGCTGCTGCTGCTACTGCTGCTCTCTAGCTGTCTCTTTAAGCCCTGCTATTCGCAGCCTCTACCCACTGGCGAATGATATCCCCAAACACCGCAGGTAGTTGCCGAGTGTCTCTAACAACTGCATAATAAGGAAAAGGAAAATCTTGCAAATAAGGAGACACCTCCATGCCCCCCCCAGGCAGCTGCTGCACTTGCTTCAAATCAAATATGCTGCTGCTGTGGGGAGGGGCCCCACCAGCAGCAGCAGCAGCAGCAGCAGTAGGAGCACCCTTCTGCTTCTGCTGCTCGGGATCTAGAATAAGCAGTAAAGGGATACACCCTCTTGCAATTGCTGCATTCACCCAGGGCCTTGCTTGCTCCTTATTAAACCTTCCGTCAGATAAGATAAGAACCATGGTGGTGGTATTGCTGCTGCTGCTGCTGCTGCCGCTGTCGTTGTCGAGCTCATGTATCGCCAGCTGCAGCATATCTGTTATAGCTACCTCATGACTTTTATGCGATTCCTCTTTGAAGCTGCAGCGCTGAAGGAGCCTCTGCCCCTCAGCTGCAGACACCTGAGGCGTGGGGTGTATGCACACCTCCGGCTTGGGGCCTCCAAATGTACAAACACTCACGGTGCCGATCTGCAATAAAACAAACAGACACTGAAACACATCCCTAAACAACCTGCAACACATCTACGCTGTATATGCACCTCAACTGCATGCATGCACATACTCCAAGGGAGGGAGGAGGGGAGGTTTGCATGAATATGCATGCATGCATTTGCATACAGTTGCCTGCATGCATGCATGCATGCATTTTCCAAAGCCCCAAACGCATGCATGCATGCAACGCAACCGACGATACGCAAGATGTGCATATATATATATATATATATATATACATACATGCATGCACGCATATATACGAGCATGCATGCATACATACGAGCACGCATACATCTGAGCATGCACGCATGCATGCATGCATGCATGCAGTGTAGGGGTGACGCGGACTCGGCTTGAAAACTACAAAATTGGGTCACTGAGGGAGGCCGAGCCCTCAGGGCTCCAATTTTATTCCCTCTCTCTGTTAGTTGTCTTCATCGTCAGTCCCCTCACGTATATATATATATATATATATATATATATCTATTGATATATTTATATGTGTTTCATGTATATATATGTTATATATATATATATATATACATATATGCATATAAGTAATAATAATAATAATAATAGATTAAATGTGGTGTGTGCGAACCTGAAGAAGATTAAAGGTTTGTGTTAATAGAACAACGGCTTCAATAGCACTAGCTGCAGCATTAAGCTGCTGCATAGAGCTGCTGCAGTCAATACCAACAAACACGCGATAATTAAACCCCTGCGCTCGACGCCTCCGCAGCCACAGGCGGTCATCTCGCTGAGATGAGGCGACGTAAGACAACACGCGGCGCAGACTCAGCTTCTTTCCTGCATATACACCCACACATATATCCATATATATATATATATGTATAATATATATTATATATATGCTATACAGGCATACATTTGCATATAAATGTATACATATATAGACACATACATGCATATATATATATATATATGCATATATATATATATATGTATATATATATGTATATGCATAGGCATAAATGAATGCATACATCCATACACACATATATATACGTCCATACATTCACATATATGCATGCATGCATACACACAAAGCCAATGACTTTTATTGTTACGGATATATTCACAAGACGAACAAGAAAAAAGACCTCTCAGGCAAAAGTTTATTGTGAAACAACTATGTGCTGCTGCTTCTGCTGCTGCTGCTGCTGTGGGTGAAGTTGTGATGGTGCTGCTGCTCTGGTGCTGCTGCTGCTGGTGCAGTTCTTCTTTAGGGACAACTGCATGCATGCATAGTGCATCAGGTCTGCATGCATGCATGCATGCATGCAGATACATATGCATACCTGATCGGTAGCCTCCCTCCCAAGCCCCATTGGCAGTGGGCTGCAGCACGAGACGAAGCGTTTCGCTGAGGCTAACAGCTGCTGCTGAAGTGCGGCCTTCTAGCATATGCCAAAGAGCTGCGCATACACAAGAAAGCCCCACAGCATGCAGCAGCGCATGCAACGCATGCAGCAGCCCCGGGAGCCTTGGGGCTCCTGCACGCTGATCTACAACTGCTGGGGGTACACCAATGTTTGCATGCAGCAATATCCCTCCCCATATCCAAATATATCTCAACCATAAGTACGCATACATGTATCTATATGTACGTACATATATATATATATATGTATATAGATATGCACATATGTATCTGCATTATATATATATATATATATATATGTATATCTAAACCAAGTAGTGGGTGTATTTCATAATGCATAAATGCAACAGCAAGCACACCACTATGGTGCGGAAAGCATGCATGCTCGATTGCATGCATGCATGCATGCATGCATGCATGCAGATAGATGAAGATGCTAACCTGCTGCATGCTCAGGAGACAGTCCCTCTTTGCCTACGTCATCTAGAGACACTCTATGCTGGAAATCTATCTCCATTTGTTTTGTCTTTTCTTCATCTTCTTCTGGATGCCGCAGGTCTTGACGGCTCTTGTTGTCTGCTGCGTCCCCCTGCTGCTGCTGCTGCTGATGCTGCTGCTGCTGCGAGGGATCCGCTGCTTCATGCGGGTGTTGCTGCGGCTCAAGCTGCTGCAGCAAGCGAGAGGAGGCCTCATCCATATCTTCGTCTCCTTGACTGTCTGTCTCCATGAACTCTGCGCTGTCTCCTCCAAGGTGTACAGACACCTCGCGAGCTTCGCCCTTCTTCTCTGCTGTCTTTTGCTGCTCTGTATTAATTCTAGCGGAGATTAATTTGTCTTCTTCTGCATGCGCATGCATAGCATGGTAGCCACAGCAGCAAATAGTAATTCTTATGTTTACTAATTACTCAAGAGCAGCAATAATATAATATCTACAAACAAGAAAACAAAACGAAACAGAAGAGCAAGCAAACATGCACGGGTAAGAAGCTAGAAGATAGCAGATAGCCTGCCGTTGCCGCTGCTACTGCTTCTGCTGCTGCTTCTGCTGCTGCTTCTGCTGCTGCAGCTGCAGCAGCAGCAGCGGCGGTTGCTGCTGGGATTGAAAGGAGACAGTCAGGGGGTATAGGGGCATCAAGGTATTTATACTAAAGGAGACACTTACCCTGCTGCTCTTCTGTTTTTCTCTCGCCGCCGTTCTCAGCGTCCTCCCTGTACACCACAACTCTAAACAACCCCACCAAATAAACACCCCCATCCCTTCTCGCTTATCTCTAGGCCCATATACATACACCATTAATGATGCAACAGCAGGCTGTCTCTCCCCTTCCTCCTTCGTATCATCCCAGTTCAAACCCTAAACCCTAAACCCTAAACCCTAAGCCCGCTTACAAGGTGTCTGTCTCCGCCAGCTTCGCATTGTTGGTGCTCTGGGAGGCGGAATTCTCCTCTGCTTCTGCAAAGGCTTCGTGGGTCCCTCTTGCTTCGTCTTGCTGACAGAGCTGTCCCCGCTGTAGCTGAGGTGTCTCCTCACCTCCATCGGGAGCAGCATCCTCCTCCCCTTTGTTTGGCTCTACGGAAGCGGCAGCAGCGTCGCTGTCTTGGTCTTGCTGCTGCTGCAGCAGCTGCACTTGCTGCAGCCAGCGCTCCACAGCTTCGGTGTCTTCAAGGGGATTCGCCGGCAATGAAGAGCGAGGGGGGTGTCTCCTACTGTCTCCTTCTTGAGAGCCCCCGCTGCCGCTATTGCGAGACAAGGAGCTACCGTCTTTTGCTGCTGCTGCTGCTGCTGCTGCTGCAGCAGAATCTCCCCCATCCTCCTCCCAGCCATCCGCTCCATCGTCTCCTATGTCTCCTCCATCTTCCCCGTCTCCTTCTATTGTCTCTCGCTGCACGAGACTGCAGGCAAAGAAGCACCATATATATATATATATATATGTATGTATGTATGTAAGTATATATATATATATATATATACAAGAAAAGGGGTTTTCATAGCAGCACAGCAGCAGGCCTCAACAGAAGACAGAGCAAAAAAGAGAAGCAAAATATATCTCCCTCACCTGCCCTCTCCTTCTATTCCAAAGGCCCTGTGGGGTTTTTGTTTAGGTGGCGGCTGTCTGCGCTTCTCAGCAGCAACTGAATTATCTTCCTCTTCATTGAGAGGCGCTGCGATGCCTGCAGCAGCCGCAGCAACACCCGCATCATAACACCCACTGCAGCAGCAGCGGTAGCAAGAGCAGCAAGAGCAGCAGCAACTGCTGCTCCTGCAGCAGCAGATCCTGCTCCAGCAGCAGCAGCAGCCGCTCTGCACTACCCTAAACCCAACGCCGACACCTGTATATACACCTCAAAAGGGAAATTATTCATCGACGAGGGCACCGACACTGAGCGAGAGACACCCGGCGCCCCACAGCAGCAGCAGCAACCCCGCCGCAAACATCAATTCAGGTGTACGATGATCTCTGCGCTGTTCAGGAGTATGCGGGGAAGAAAGACAGGAAAAAACATAATGTTGCAGGAGACAAGAAGCAAACATACTTCATTTCTTTATGAATGCTGTATTAAAATATTATGTATAAATAACATATTTAAATTGAATACATTTGATATAGGAATCCTACATAATATCCTATATAAATATATATATATATACATATACATATATATATATATATACATATATATTCTATATAGAGATACAGAATGATAATTCTATGATTATATGAATAATATAAAAGGAGACAGGGGGGTGGGGTTAAGGGGGGAGAGGCCTCAGCTAGGCATTGACAGAGACGTAGCAATATCTCTGTCTCCTTCTCTGGCTTGTGTTCATCATAGGGCAGCCTTAAGGGCTTAGAGACCCAAGGGGACACCGCAGAGGCCTTTTCGTTTCATCTTCGGCAGCTCCCCCCAACCCCAAGACACCCCACTAATAGAACCTAAACCCTAAACCGTAAAGCCTAAACCATCAACACTTAACAAACTCTGATGCAAAAGCAAGCATATCACCGCTCTCTGTATCTCTCTCTCTCTGTCTCCCTCGCTCTCTCTCTCTCTGTGTGTGTATATATGTATATATATATATATATGTTTATTTATCTATTTATATATTCATATATATATATACATATATACGCCCCCTTGAGGCCGCCCTAAGAGCAGACGTCTCTTTGCTGTCATCTCCGAGCTACCGTCTCCTTCATGGGTGCAGCAGCACCTCAACTCACAGCTTTGTGCATGCAACCAGCAGCAGCAACAACAACAACAGCAGCAGCAACACTAACAGCAGCAGCAGCAACAGCAGCAGCAGCAGACGCTAGGTAGCAGCATCCTACCTTGAACCGAGGGGTCCTGGTGGACGCCCTTGTCGTTGTCGTCTGTCTCCGCTGTCTCTTCTTCTTCTGTCTCTTCTTTCTCTATCTCTTCTCCCTCTGCTGTTGGCTCCTCAGCAGAGCCCTCCTCTTGTGTGCCTGCTGCAGCGCCGTTGCTGTTGTCTGCTGCATCTGCTGCTTCGTCAGAGGCCCCGTCCTGCTGCTGCTGCTGCTGCTGCTCTTGGTCCTGCTGCTGCTGCTCTTGATCGAGTGTCCCCTGCTGCTGCGGATCGCCTGAATCCACAGCCATGTCTCCTCCCTCCTCAGCATCGGCATTGCCGCTGCTGCTGCCGTCTGCTGCACCAGCATTCTCTTGCTGCTCCTCTGCAGCACCTGTCTCCTCCGCAGCACCTGTCTCCTCTGCATCACCAGACGCCTCCTCATGGCTGTCTCCTTCTTCTCCGTCTCCATCTAAATCAGCGTCTTCAAGCTGCAAGTCGTCTCCCCAACTATCTGTGGGGCCTTCCCCCCGACCCTGCTGCTGCTGCTGTTGCTGTTGCTGCTGCTGCTCGCTGTCGCAGGCCTCGTCTGATGCTTCGTCTCCAGTCTCCTCGGCTTCGCCCTCTACTTCCTCCGGATTGTCACCTGTCTCTTCTGCTCTCTCCATGTCTCCTCCCCGCAGCTTTTTCTGATAGTGTGGGGCTTCCTGCTGCTCTAACTCGTCGCCGTCAGAACCAGGGGCCTGCAGCAGCAGCAGCAACAGCAGCCGCAGCAGCAGCAGCAAAAGAGCATAGGTGGATATAAACAGCAACAATAAAAGAGATATAGGCTCCATAGGTTATATGGCTGCAGTGCATACAAACATATGCTGAGGCGTACCTCAAGGCTTCCCTCATCAACTTCCTCATCCTGGGTCTTGTTCGAGTCCTGCTGCTGCTGCTGCTGCTGCTGCTGCTGCTGCTCTCCTTCTGTGGGCTTGTTGCTGTGCGAGGCGTCGTCGTCGCTTTCTTTTGCGCCCTCCATCTCTACCTCACCTTGAGGGACTCCTCCTTCTGTCTCTATTGTCTCCTTTTGTTTATTTTTTTGTTTTGTCTCCTTGTCTTCTTCTTCTTCTGACTGTTCATCTCCAGCCCATCTCTTATTCTCTATTTGTCCTCCCTCTTGCAGGTCAACTTGCCCCGCGCTATCCTCCAGCTCCTGCTGCTGCTGCTGCTGCTGCTTGCTGCCGTCTTGCTGAGAAGGTGGGGGAGCCTCAGCCTGTGCTTCAAAGTCCATAGACACCTCCAGCGCTTTATCCTGAAGCACATATAACACTCACACTCCAAATCCTATACCCTAAACCCTAAACCCTAAACCCTCATACGCGATCCCAACGCCGTACGCAAGCTCAGCCGTGTTTATATTTATACCTTAGAGGATATAAGGGTTTAGCAACAGAAGCAGAGAAAATGCGAGCAGAGTAGGGTTTAGAGTGGTTTAGGATTGCTGGAGAAAGATTAGGGCTTAGGGTTTAGGGTTTAGGGTTTAGAGACGCACCTCTTCTTGGGTCTTGGGCTTCTCTGGGGGTTTCTGCTGCTGGGTGTCTTGCTGTTCATCTCTAAGGCCATCGAACTGAAATTCGTCTTTGATATCTTCAGATCTGTCTTGAGCACCATCGCCTTCTCCTAATCCTGTTGCTGCTATCCATTCATCTTTCTGCTTCTCAGGCCTTGCTGCTGCTGCTGCTGCTGCTGCCTCCTCCTCGCTGCTAAGCCGCCCCCACCCTAGCTGCAGCAGCACTAATGTAAGCCGCAGCAAACTTAAGCATAATCGGGTTGTCCCTTCCAGTGCATCAAATGCAGCTAAGACAACTGCTGCTGCCCGTTGCAGCGTCAGCAGCACCACATCTCTCGCTTTGCTGCTGTTCCCTGTTGTAGATACTGCTGCTGGCCCTGCTCCGGCTCCTGCTGCTGCTGCTGTTGCTGCTGCTGCTGCTGCTGCGGGCGTCTGCAGCAAGGGGCGAACCACGTATGCAGGTGCTGCTCTTGTGAAGGCCTCAACTGCGGCAGTGCATTGCTTGAAGGGGAAGAGACACTCGAGAGACGGCACAGGCAGGCTTGCAAACACCGGCTGCTGCTGCTCATGCTGTTGTTCTTTCTGCTGCTGCTGCTGCTGCTGCACGTTGTCTTTGTTAAGCTGGCTGGGAAGCTGAAGAAGGAGGTCCACTGCTGGTTGTGGGGTGTCTCCTTTGCATGCTGCTAGGGCAAATTGAAGTGTCTCCGTGGCTTTCGCTATGGCTGTGTCTCCTCTGCTGCTGTTGTTTGCTGTCTCTTCCTGCGCAGCTGCAGCAGCTGCAGCAATAGCAGCAGACTGCGCATGCAGCACTTCGCAGGCTTTGCGAAGGCCTGCAGCTGCATGCGTTGGCAGCAAATTGAAGAGACCTCTGTCTCCCTTCCCTTCGTCTCCTTGTCCCTTCATGAAGGCAAGTGTCTCCTCGCATGCAGTTTTAACCTCTCCCAGCCACTGCAACCGCACGCGCATGCAAACGCCTTCTCCCTGCCCTCCTGCTGCTGTTGCTGCTGCTGTTGCAGCAGCAGACAACCGCCGAGCCTCGGGGCTGCTGAGGAGAAGCTGCTGCAGCACCTCCAGCTGCTGCTGAGCCTTGCGAAGTGTCTCCCAAGCCCCCCGCAGCTGTCGCACGTCATGGCGCAGCATGCGGCGTTCATCTGTCTCCGCAGCAGCAGCACCACCACCAGGTGCTGCTGCTGCTGCTGCTGCTGCTGCAGGCTGCTGCGCCCCAATAGAGGCGTGTCCTTTGCCTTCAAATGCTGCTAATGAAGCTGACGTGCTGCTGCCAGACGCAGAAGAGACAGCAGCAAACGCAAGGTCTATAGCATCATTTTGTGCTGCTGCCTCTGTTAGGGTGGGGAGGAGGGCCCCAGCTTGCTGCAAAGCTTGCTGCAGTGTCTCTGCTGCTTGCTGCAGCCCCTGCTGCAGCGCAGCAGGAATTGTCACAGATGGAGACACCAAGGACACTGCCGCTGCGTCTGCCAGCACCTGATACTGCGCAGCAGCTTCCCAGCAACGCTGCCGCTGCTGCAGCGCATGCAGGACCAGAGCAGCAACAAACCCCAGCAGCAGCTCCCGCTGCGCCAGCACATCCTTGTGAGGCTTCGTTATCTGCTGGCACTGCAGCAGCAACTGCAGCAGCAAATACCACTGCTGCGCAGCAGAGACCCAAGTGTCTCCAAGGAGCTCTCCGATTGCCTTGGGTGTCTCCTTTGCTGCTTCTGTGGCTAGCCAGCTAGCCAGAGGCTGTTTATTCTTTGCCCCGCGAGACAAAACAGCTGCTGCTCTTGCTGCCGTGTCGTGCTGCTGCAGTGCTGCTGCATCCTGCAGCGGGTGAGTAGCCCCAGGAGGCCCCGGGAGGCCGCTAGCATCATTTAAAGCAGCAGCAAAGAGACTAGTGTCTCCTCCACAAAGAGACAGACAGGGCAGCTGCAAGTGCGTACGCAGCAGCCCCCGCAGCTCTGTGAATTTTCTTTGCATTTGCTGCCGTGTCAACTGTCTCTTACGCTTGGCTCGGCCTGCTGCTGGTGCTCCCTCCTCCTCCTGCTGCTGCTGCTGCTGCTGCTGTTGCTGCTGTTGGTCTTCAACTGCTGCTGCTGACGCAGCTGCAGCCTCTTTGACAGCAGCACTAAAATCTTCGCATACACTCTGCACGTCCAGAGCTACATCTGCTGCACTCGTTGAGTTGCTGCAGAATGCATGCAGGTCTTGTAAGCACCTGTAATCTATATCTACTGTCTCCTCAAGGCCAAGGGACAAGCTTAAGAACCTCCCCACAGCACTTGCTGCTGCTGCTGCTGCTGCTTCTCCTGCGTCCATTGAGGAGGGATGGCCCCCTGCTTCTGCAGCAGCAGCAGCAGCTGCTGCTGCTGCTGCTGTTGCTGGCGCGGCGCAAGCTTGCATGCTGCTAGAGGAAGCAACGTCTGCAGTACTCTCAGCAGCAGAGCGAACAGTAGCTAAAGGAGACAGCAGCGGGAGAGACAAAGCTGCAGCAACAAGCCGCTCTTGCAGCTGCTGCTCCACTGGCCCCACTGCTGCATGCATGAACTGCAGCAAAGCCCCATCAAATGTCTTTATATGCTTCGCTAGCTGTACGTGCGTCTTGTGTACAGATCTGCAAATGGAGACAGAGGAGACAGTGCATGCAAGACACCCGAAATAATATACAAATACTTTCAAGATAAGACACAGACAAAGACATCATACAGCAAACAGCAAAAAGAAACGCCTTCTTTGCTGCTGCTGTTTGTGTGCATGCATGCATATATAACAAAAGAACCTCCACATAATAAGTGAAGAAAAAGAGAGCAAACATAAACAAAAAGGAGACACAAGACACCAGAGACACAAGACAGAAGAGACAAGACATAAAAGAAGAGAGAGCATGAAAGACACAAAGAGACAGGGGGCGCGAGACAAGACGGTGACACTGCATGCTCTGCTGCTGCTGCTGCTGCTGTTGCTGCTGCTGCTGCTGCTAGCAGTAGGGTGGCTTGCAGCATTGCGTTCGCTGTTATTGTCTGCTTCGTGTGTCCACAGATGTGCACATGAAAAAGGAGACAGAAAGGAGACACAAGGGAGACAGCAAAGAGACAGAGAAGAGACAGACAAGAGACAGACAAGAGAAAAGAGACATAAGAGAGACATAAAAGACACATAAAAGAGACATGAAAGAGACAGACAAGAGACAGAAAAGAGACAGACAGACAAGACACAGACAAGAGTTTTAAAAAAAGAGAGACAAGAGACAGGAGACACTTCAACAGTGCCAGGGCCTCACTCCCTCATTGCCGTTCTGCTAGACAAATCCCAACGAGCCAAAGACGTCAAACACCGCACAGCACCATCCATCTCTTTTCTTGCTGCATGCAGCTGCTGCTGCACTGCCTTCAGCCACCCAGCAGCAACAGCAAACCGAGCAACAGCCCCCATAACAAAGCAAACCACCTCTGCACCGGGGGCCTCTGCTGTTGCTGCTGCCTTTGCTGCACCCAGTTCTACAACAGACCCTGCAGCAGCTCCTGCTGCAGCAGCAACCCCACCTGCTGCTGCTCCATGCAGCAGCAGCCGTCTGCAATAGCTCGCCCCTTCTAGACACCGCAGCCTCCCTTCGAATTGCCCTAAGGGCGATGTACGTAGAAACTCCAGCAGCACTTCTGTTACTGCCTTTGGTGAGCGATGAATAAGCTGCAGCAAGACAGTGCCAGCGAGCCCCTGGGTTGCTGTTGGTGTGTCTCCTGGCGCAGTAGGCCCTGCAGCAGCAGCAGCAGCTGCTGCTGCTGCAGCAGCTGCTGCTGCTGCTGCGGCAGGAGACTCTGCAGCGTCCCCGTCGTCAGGCAGCAAACTCCATAGAAACGGAGCAAAGTGCAGACTCTGCTGCTGCATGCGCTGCTCCCTGAACTCCCTCAAGAACCGCCACTCCAGCAGCTGCCGCCGCCGCAGCAGCAGCACCTGTCTCTCAACAGCTAGCACTGCAGCATCAAACCGCTGCAGAAGCTTTTCTGCTGCCTGCATTGCTGCTTCCTGCTGCTGCTGCAGCGAAGCTCGAGTGCTGCTACTTTGATGCAGTCCATCCTTAGCTTCATCCTGGGAGTGGGAATAGCCGGAGACAGCTGCATTAGTATCTTGCTGCTGCTGCGCTGCTGCTCCTGCTGCTCCCCCAGCGGGAGAAGCAGCAGCAGCAGCAGCAGCAGCGGAGATGTGCAAGGCAATGAGATGGGCCAGTTGGTGTCTGTCCATCGCCTGCTTCCAAGCTGCTGCTCTGTCTAGCAGACCCTCGAGAGCAGCAAGAGCATCAGCAGGAGAAGTGCTGAGGAGGGAGAGAGCAGCAACTCTTTGCGTAAGCAGCAGCATACTCTGCAGCACAGGGTGGTCTTCTACAACAGCAGCAAAAGAAGCAGCAGCCTCTTGAAACTCCTGGACGGGGCCGCTTAGTGGCTGCAGCAGCACGGGGCTGCCAGCAGCATAAAAAGATGTTGCTGCACCTTTGCTGCTGCCAGAGAAGGAGATACTACGACACAGCTGAGCGAAGCGCAGCTTCCTTGCACGCTCCCGTTGCTGCTGCAGTCTCTCTTGCTGCAGCTGTTGCTGGATGGCGTTGTCTCCTGCATCTCCCTCAGAAACGCCAGACCCGTCAAGCTGCTGCTGCTGCTGCTCGGCCTCTGCTGCGGCGTCCTCCTCCTGCAGCAGCAGCTGCTTCAACTGCTGCTCCTGCCGCTGCTGCTGCAGTGGAGACGCCCCTACGAGGCGGGCAGTTGTCTGAGCCAGCATTGCTTGCATATGCGGCAAGCAATACCTGTCGAGCTCTTGAGGTACCCGTACCTCTTCTGCTGCTGCTGCTGCTGCTGGAGGTACTGCTGCTGAGCCCGCATTGTGTGCGTTCAATAAAACACAGAAAGAGCCCTGAACAAAAACAGAAGACATTACATATAGACACACATATATATGTACAAGCAAATACATATATATATATATATATACATTTATTATATATATATGTATTTGCTTACCGCGAGGGCTTCGCGATATGCGGTGGTTGATTCGACCTCGCCTTCGCCGCTTCCTGCGCTGCTGTAGATGCTGCTGCTGCTGCTGCTGCTGCTGCTGCAGCCGCTCCATGCACATGAAGTGTCGACGGCACTGCCCCACATGTGCAGCAGGTCCTCCTCAGTAAGCCCTTCTAGCTGCTGCAGTGCAAGCTGCTGCTGCTGCTGCTGCTGCTGGCTGTCTTCTTCATGGGCTTCGTAGGTGGTTTGATTGCACCATGCTGTATACTGGGTGGTTTCTTCAGTATCTGTATGCTGCTGTTGCTGCAGCTCCTGCTGCTGCTGCTGACCTATCTCAGTCCACTCCTTGCTGCAGGGAAAGAGTTCTTCTGCTGCTTCTGCATCTCCCCGTTGCTTCCCTCCTGCTGCTGCTGCTGCTGAGCGGTCCACAACAAGGCCCTCTAAGCGCTGCAGCAGCGTCGCAGTCTCATCTGCTGCGATCTGACGTTGCTTCCTCCATGCCAGCTGCTGCTGCGACACCTGCAGCAGCAGCCCCGCTAAGGCCAGCCGTGCAGCAGCAAAGGGCGTTGTACAAATCATAGCAGTTGCTGCTGAGCCCCGGCGTCTCCGACCCCCTGTTGTTGTTGCTGCTGCTGATGCTGCTGTTGCTGCTGCTGCCTCTGCGCGGAGCCACAACAGCAACCACTGCGCTCGCTGCAGCGGCTGCAGCAGCCCTGTACCCTCACCGACTCCGTCAGATGTTAGCGCAGCAAACGGCAAGGCTGGGAATGAAGCTGCCCCCTGCAGCACTAAGGACACAGGTGAAGGTGCCCGCATCTGCTGCTGCTGCAGCAGTAGCTTCTGCTGCTGCTGCTGCTGCTGGCGCTGAAGGGAGTGTGTAGCTTCAGCAGCATCTAAAAGGCCTTTGGCGACTGCCCATAGGCCTGTTGCAGCTGTACGTACAGCAGGGGCGAGCAGGAGAGGATGGGTAGCAACGAGGCTGCTGCTGCATGCAGCAGCAGCTGCTGCTGCTGTCCTCAAAGCGGCAGGGGAGCGGGGCCCTGTCTGCTGCGCTGCAGCAGCGGCGCCTTCTGTCTCCAGCAGCAGAGGCGTCAGCTCTGGCAGCAGAGACAAAAGCCTGTAAAAATAAAACACACATTAATACCCCTAAAGATAAACGAGGTTATGAAGAAGCACTAAATAAACAAGCAACAGCAAATAAAATAAAACCCCAAGAAGAAGACAACAAGAAAAAAATAAAATATTAAGTGAACACCAACTACAGCCTCTCTCTACACTGCCTGGAACCAGCAATTAAACTGATGCTGCTGCTGCTGCTGCTGCTGCTGCACTGCTGCTCTTGGGGGACAACGAGAAGACTCCGGCAGCAGACGAACCGCTGTGTCTCCAAGGTGCTGCAACAAAACTCATTAAGGCCCTCTAGCCAAGCAGCCAGTGCTGCCTCAGGTGCAGCAGTGACAGCTGAGCCGCGTTCTATGAGCTGCAGCACATGCTGCTGCGCAGCTGCTGCTGCTTCCTCTTCATCTGTCCCTGCTGCTGATGTTGTTGCTGCTGCTCCCCCTTCGGCGCCCTGTGCTGCTGCTGCTGCTGCACCAGTTGGAGCAGCAGCAGCAGGCAGCAAACGTAGGGCTAAGTCTGAAGGAATGGCTGCTGCTCGCAACGGGAGAAGGCGAGCTAGATGGGGCAGCAGATCACTTGCTTTGTTGCTCTGCTGCAGCAGCTGCTGCAGCGCATTTGCATGCACTTCTGTCTCCGCAGCTAGTGCTACAGAGGCTGAGGTGCTGCCTCCTATCCCCCAACTCCAATCCTGCTGCTGCACCCTGTCGCAGCCATCTAGAGCTGCTGCACGCAGCAGCAGCGCCTCTGTCTGCAGCAACCAGCAGCAGCAAACGCACCAGCACACGCAGCAGCAGCAACCTTCGGATTGACACAACTCTTCTGTGCACGCATGCATATACCACTGAACAAATTTAAATAAATAAAGGAGACAGAGAGACAGACCAAAGCGGAGACACACCTCAGCTTCGTAGGCCTGAGACTTCATCTGGACGGCTTGGCGCCATGCTGCTACTTCCCGCTGCTGCTGCAGTTCAGCTGCTGCTGCTGCTGCTGCACTCAACACCGCCCACCTTCCCAGCAGCAGCAGCAGCAACGAACGTTGCCGCTTGCCAGCGTCCCCCAGCAGCAGCTCACTAGGCTCTGCTGCAGCTGCACACATCTCCAGCAGCTGCTGCAGCACCACCAACGAAGCAGCAGCACTCTGCCCTGCATCCAGGCTGCGCATATAAGCCACTGGTGGTGCTTCGCCGCTACCAGCAACAGCAGCAGCAGCAGGTGCTGTTGCTGCTGCTGCTCGTAGTGTCTCATGCAACCCGCGCACAACAGCACGCAGCCTTGAAGCGGCTGCCTTTGCTGCTGCTGCTGCTGCTGCCTTCCTGTTTGCTGCTGTTGCAGCAGCAGAAGCAGCACCACCGCCAAGGAAGCACGCAAGGCTAGACCACGCGTCCTTAAGCGCCATACATACTGCAGCAGCTGCTGCTGCCTCTGTCTCCTTCTTAATCGCAACACTAGACTCTCCTTCGTTTAACGGCGCACAGAATGACCAGAGTGCAGCAGCAAAACCCACGACTGCTGCCCACTCCGCAGCAGCAGCAGCTGCTGCTGCTGCTGCCTCTGTCCCCACACTTCCTGCTGCTGTTGCTGCTGGTGCTGCTATTGCTGCAGAAGCCTCGCCTGTCTCCATCACTGTCTCCATCGTCTCTGCACCAAGGCCCACCTCCAACAGCTTGCTTGCTCTAGTGCTTCCGGTGTCGAGGTGCTGCAGCTGCCGCTGCAGCCGCTGCAGCACAATGATGCATGCAGAAGCTGAGGAGACAGTGGCGTGCTGCTGCACCTCCACGAGAATTCGCGCAGTGTACGTTGAGCTGCTGCCAGTGGGCCCTGTCTCCTGAAGATGAATTGACCGTTCTACGCACCCTGCTGTTGCTGCTGCTGTTGTTGCTGCTGCTGCTGTTGCTGTTGCGCCGCGAAGCCCTCCTGCTGTCTCTGCAAGACGAGCCAAGGCATGCCGTGTTAGCAACGCGGCCGGGCGTCTTGCTGACGCTGCTGCTGCTGCTGCTGCTTCTTCTGCATCCTTGCCTAGAGCGCATGCATCTTGCAGCAGCTGCTGCTGCAGCAGCACGCCCTTAAGGCCCAACGCGTCGTTGCAGTGCAAGTCGAGCTCTGTCCTCCACATCAGCGACAAGATCTCAACAGCAGCACACGCAGCAAACCGAAAGAGCTGCTGCTGCTGCTGCTGCTGCCGCTGCTGCTGCTGCTGCTGCCACAAAGCAGCCATCAGTACTGCAGCAGCGTCCAGCAGCGCTGGCGGGAGGGGTATCGGTTTTGCTGCTGCGCTGCATGCAGTCGAAGGGTCTCCGGAAGAGAGGCAGCAAATAGCAGCAGGGGGCAGAGTGAAGACGGGCAGCAGCTCCTGGTGTTGCTGCTGCAGTTGCGTCTCTGCAGCCTCCTGCAACGCTAAGCAAAGAGCAGCAGCAGCCCTGGAGTCAACGGGGCCCTCGCCATCACGAGCAGCAGCAACAGCAACAGCAGGAGCAGCACGTGTTCGCTCCTCCTGCTGATGCGGCTGCACCCACAGGTTCGCGAGTAGCAGCTCTGCTGCATGCTGCAGCCCCAATCGCACTGCTGCTGCTGCTGCCAGCTGCGCTTGCAAAACGCCAATAGAGACAACCGCGCTGCTGCTGAGAGACACCCAGCGTTGCTGTTTGCTGTCGCTGAGGCCCTCTGCAGCAGCTGCTGCGCGCAACGCTGCTGCTCTACCCTGTTCGCTCTTAAAGAGAGACGTCGCAGCAGCAGCAGCAGCTGCTGCTGCTGCTACTGCTGCTGCTGGCTTCCGCTGGTTAGTAGGCAGCAGCGCCTCGCAGACCTGGGCCTCTAGCCTCGCTGCTGCTGCTTCGCGGCCTTCTGCTCGCAGCAAGCAGCTGCTGAGAAGCAGCGCATGCAACGCCGAAGCATGGAGAAGCAACGACTTACTTTGAAGCAGCTGCTGCTGTTGCTGCTGCTGATCTTGCTGCTCGCGCTGCTGCTGCGAACCTTCTTCACCGCCGAGTTGCCGCATTCCTGCATGCAGCAGCAAGCGGAGAGCCCTGTCTAAAGACGGGGCTGTGCATGCAAAACGCTGTGAGAATGAAGCACCTCCTCGTTCCTCACTCGTCCCCGTTGCTGCTGTTGCTGCTGCTGACGGCTCAAGGCCTGAGCTTCCCCTAAGGGCTGCTGCATGCAGCAGCTCTCTCAGCAGCCAACCCCGCACTGTCTGCGCTTCGTGCTGCCCCAACTGAAGAGGCAGCAGACAATTCCAGCTGCTGCAGGACACTGCAGCAGCAGCTGCTGCAGCGGCAGCACTAGCAGCAGCAGAGCAGCCGCCATTCCGTGTTAGCTGCTGCTCGTTGTGATGCTGCTGCTGCGGCTGCTGCTGCTTCACGTCCATCAAACTCAGCAGCCCGTCGCCTGTCTCGGATGCTGCTGAGCCACCGACAGCACGATATGCATGCACGAGCGTTGTGCGTATGCAATCAAGCGGCGGGAGGAGTTCAGCAGCAACAAATTTGGTCGTTGCTGCTGCTTTTGCTGCTGCTGTTGCTGCTGCATCCCAGTCCTTATAGCTGCCTAAGTCTCTGACCGCAGCAGCCGTTGCGGCTGCTGCAGCAGCAAAACCCTGAAGGCCCTCAGCAAACATTTTAAACAGCAGCAGTAATACACCTCCATGCCGTTGCAGGGCCAACTGCATCCTCTCCTGGTTTCCAAGTAGCTGCTGGCGTTTGCTGCTTCTGCTTCTGCTGCTGCTGCTGCTTCTGCTGCTGCTGCTAATGTTATTATCCTTCTCCTCTGCAGCTGCAGCGGCAACACCGCATCTACCGCACACGGGGAGAGACAGCAGCTGCAGCAGCTCCGCCCACGCCATGAAGCAGCGGGTCAGGTGTCTGGACTGCTGCATAAGGCTTGTAGCCAATCCCTCAGCAGCAACAACAGCAGTAGCTGCAGCAGGCAGCAGCCCAGCTGCCTGCTGCAGCAGCATATGAAGGGCCTCATCAGCAGCAAACACCGTACACCTGGATAGGTGGCGAAGGCCTTCGAATAAGCGCTGCATCATCTCTCTAACTTGTGTCTTCTCATCTTGCATCTCTTGCTGCAGCAGCTCCTGCTGCAGCACATCCTGCTGCTCTCCCTGCTGCTGCTTGACAGGCAGCACGCATGCAAAGAGGAGACACCAGAAGAATCCTTGGCCTTCCAGGCTGCAGCGTGGGCACTTCCTAGAGAGACCCTTGCTGCTGCTCTGCTGCTGCAGCAGCAGCAACCTTTCAGGCAGCAGCAAGGCTGTGCTCTCACTGCGGCATAAATGGACTAGCTCGCGCAGGAGCAGCTGCTGCTGCACCTGCTGCTGCTGCTGCTGCTGCAGCGAAGATGAATATTCATTGTTCCCCTTCAGGCCTTGCACACATGAGGAAGAGACTGTTCTTAATAGGCGGGCTGCTGTGTACAGGAGGGACCTACTGTGAGGCGCGGCAGTTGCAGCAGCAACTGGTCCTGCTGCTGCTGCTGCTGCTGCTGCAGCGCCTGGAGGCAGAAGGAAAGGCCCCTGCGCGATATCCTCTAAGGCGCTGCATGCAGCAGCAAGATAGCGGAGAGCTGTTTTTCGCCGCCGCTGGTGCAGCGGCGGCAGCAGCTGATGCTGCTGCAGTGCTTCCTGCTGCAGCTGCTGCAGCGCTCGAAGGCGAGCAGCAAACTCTTCTGCGTCTGCTGCCCCCCACATGAAGTGGCGCACTGCTGCAGCAAGCAGCGGAAGACCCCCCTCAGCCCTCTCAACACAAGCAGAAGCAACACTTCCAATAAAGGAGACCTCACTGGTAACAGACCTTGCTATCAGTCCCCCGACGGCATCGCTGCTGCTGCTGCTGCTGCTGCTGCTGTTGCTGCAGCTGCTGCTTTCACGGTGCAGGAGCACGTGTCGCTTTATAGCCTCCCTCAGGATGGCCCAGTCTGTGTCTTGCTGCACATCGTTGCTGCTGTCTGCAGAGCTGCTGATGTCTTCCTGTCTTCTGGGAACAGAGCGGCAGCAGCAGCAGCAAGCTGCTAACAGCTGCAGCAGCAGCAGGCGCCAAATGGCTGAAGCGTCGACAGCTGCGGTGTACTGCCACAGAAAACACTGAAACAACGTTTCTACAGATACACTGTGATCGACATCGTCTGTTGTTGCTGCTGCTGCAGTTGCTGCTGCGGTTGCTGCTGTTGCTGCTGCTGGTGTTGCTGCTGTTGCTGCTGTTTGCGGCCTTCCCGTTGCTGCTACTGCTGCAGGTCTATTGTATGAACCCTCCACACGTCCAGCAGCAGCATAAGAGCTGCCCCATCCCTGGAGACACCTCCAACTTGCTGCTGCTGCTGCTGCTGCATCTTTGCTGCTTCTTCCCGCGACTCTGCGCGCAATAGCCTGTAGACCAGCAAGGCCAGCAGCAACAGCCCCCTCTCCAAGTTCATCTCGGATGCTTTGGAGTCCTGCAGCAACTACATCTCTGCTGCTGTCTCCTTGTGTGCCTCCCTGCTGCTGCTGCACTTGCTGCTGCACTTGCTGCTGCTGGGGAACGTCACACAGCGACGACTGTGCCGCAAGAGCAAACTGCGACAGCGCAGATTCGTCTCCTAGTAGCTGCAGCAGCAGCTGCACAGCTGCGTGCTGCAGAGACATCACTTCAGCTGCTGCCAGCGACAGACCCGTGTCTCCCGCCAGCAGCAGCCTGTAGCTGTCCTGCAGCAAAAGGGGACACAAACGTACGTAGCTGCTGCTGCTGCTGCTGCTGCTGCTGCAGTGAGCCCTGCTGCAACAGAAGCTGATGAAGACTCCGACGGCGCGCAGCGTAGCATTTGCTGAAGCTGCTGCTGCTGCTGCTGCAGCAGACTGTGCCTTGTCTCCGCTGGGCTCTCCCTCCAGCTCCGTCTCTGCTGCCAGCAACGATGAAGACCATCGAGATAGCAACGCTCGCAGCAAACTGTCTCCTCCCGTCGCCTGTGCAGCAGAAACCCCACAGCCCCTCAAGAGGCCTGCAAACGTCATTAATAGCCGCTCTGTCAGCCCCGCCAGCAGCCAAGGCTGTCTTGCTGCTGCTGCTGCTGCTGCTGATGCTGCTGCTGTTGCCGTTGGGCTTGGGTTTGCTGCTCCGTCGATATCGCATTCTTCTGCAGTAGAGTTGGCCGTTGCATGTGATGTTTGTGCTGCTGCTTCTGCTGCTGCTGCTGCGACAGTGCCCGGCGGGTGTACGTACACCTCGCAGCACCTGTTTCTCAGGGCTGAGGAGAGTCTGCATGATGCTGCTGCTTCTGCAGTGAATAGAATCCTAAACTTGGGGTGTCTCTTCACCTCTCTTGGGGGCCCCCCTTCAGTTAGCAGCAGACTCCCCCCGTCTTCTAGCAATGCATTAAGTCTGTCTAAGACGGAGGCGCTACAGAGATGAGCGCTGCGCAGCAGCAGCCAATGGCCGCGACGTACGGCCTCTACGAGTGCACTGTCTGTCCATACAAAACGAGGGGTCTCTTCCTCTGCTGCTGCTGCTGCTGCTGCTCCTGTTGCTGCAGACACTATGGGCTGCAGACCGCACAACACGCAGCCCTGCTGCAGCAGCAGCCGGGCCCTCTGGATGCGCCGCTGCAGCGCAGCACGTAGTGCCTCAGTTGCTGCGACCTCTTTGCCAGTCGGAGGAGAAAGCAAAGGTGCAACAGCAGCGTTGCAGCCCTCAAGTAATGCTGCTGTTGCTGCAGCAACCTGCTGCAGCAAAGTCCTTTGCTGCACCTCAGGCTGCATGCCCTCCCCGCTCCCTGAGACGGAGACAGCGCCCAAGTCTGAAGCATCTACCAACTTCTGTCGTGCTGCTGCAACAGCAGCACGCAAGTCCTTCAACTGCTGCTGCTGCAGCAGCAGCTGCTGCTGCTGCTTCTGCTGCTGCTGCTGCAGCAGACAGTCTGCAACCTGCTGCGCTGCACGGGAAGCTTGAAGCAGCCGTTGTCTTGGCTGCACCTGCCTGTACACCCCAAGTAGATCTGAGGTATCAACGGAGGGCCCCAACTGCACCTCGCATACAGTCGCGCCGCATGCAGCAGCGAGCCACCTCACGATGCTGCTCTTCCCTGCAGCAGCAGCAACAGCAGCAGCAGCAGCAGGAGGAGGAACAGCAACAACATGAGCGGCATCAAAACAAACAGAGACAAGACCAACTCAGCACTCGCCTCCTCCCGAGCAAACAATCAGCAGCCACGAGCGACAAAAGAGACAAACAAAAAAGAGATTGAGAGCAGAGACAAAGTGAAAAAAAAACTCAAAAACCAAATACCCCCTTCTTTATTATTTATTTATATTTGTATTTAGTTTATTTACCGCTTTATTTAAGACACTCCTAGTACATAAATATTTTTATTTATTTATTTATTTATTTATTTATTTATTTATTTATTTATTTATGTGGAGCAGATGTTTATAGATAAATATCTTTTGTGTATAAAACCTAAAAGAACTTTTGCTGTTTCTATTTTCATTTTACTCAATTACTTTTAGGGTTTAAGAAGAATGAGAGTTTTATTAGTTTTTTATAAATAATTATTTATTTATCTCTTATAATATTTGTTCTAAGGGCCCCCCTCACCTGCACCTCTCTCCCCTGTCAGCAGCACAGGAAACCCTGCTGCTAGTGCAGCAGCAACAGCAGCAACGCAGAGTCTCTGCGAGTGCAGCAGCAACCCACAGAGCTGTCCCTTCTGCTGCTGCTGCTGTGCTGCTGCATGCATCTCCTCCTCTTGCTGCTTCACGGTTGCTGGCGTTGCTGCCTCTGGAGCCAGCAGCAGAGTCAGGTCTCCAAAGGAGACAAAATTGTCTCTAACAATAAGATCAATTGGCTGTCTCCCTGATAGTCTATCAGCAACATTCATTAAAGAAGGCAGCAGCAACTGCTGCTGCACTGCATGCCGCACCGCAGCAGGAGCCAACCAGGGCCGCAGCAGAGCAGCAACATCGTCTAAGGCAACTTCGTCGCCCTCCCGCTGCTGCTGCTCCTGCTGCTGCTGCAGCGCATGCACGTGCTTCTGCTGCTGCTGCTGCCGAAACACGCCCGGAGGGAAACACAGAGAAGCCAGAAGAGCTGCTGCCCTCACGTCTTCTCTGCTGCGAAGGCGCGACAGCAGCGCAACAGCAACGGCCCCCCGAGGGTCTGCAGTTGGCAGCTGCAAACAAAACATTCAGGAGACAGCAGAGGAAACACTGAAGAAGGAGACAGCAGCATTGCATGCAGACTGCGTCTGTCTCCCTATGCGCTCCGCAGCAACTGCAACAAATGCACCGGCAGCAGCAGCGCCACAAACAGCAGCAGCCGTGGCAGCAGCAGCACCAGGTGGAGCAGCAACACAGCAGCAACTGCAGCAACAGCAGCAGCAACAGCAGCAGCAGCCGCACAACAGCAGTAGCAACAGCAGCAGCAGCAGCTCTTACCCCGTGCGCGTAGAGCCTTATAATCCTCATTGCATCTCTCAGGTTGTACACAGAATCTGTGAGGCCTTTAAACGAATGTTCAGCCCCAAGCTGCGCCAGCAGACGGACGCAGCGCACAACGCATGCACTCAGCAGCAGCTGCTGCTGCTCCTCCTGCTGCAGCAATAGCCGCGGCCTCATCACAGAGGCGCCTTGCAAAGCCCGACTCCGCTGCTGCCGCTGCTGCTGCTCTTTCCCCTCTTCCTCCTGCTGTTGGTGTTGCTGCTGCTGCTGCTGTTCCTGCTGCTGCTGCTGTTGCTGCTGCTGCTGCAGCCAGGCTAGGAGTTTGTGTGCAATGGCAACCATATCTGTCTCCAGCATCTCATCTACGCGGACCCTGCAAAATCTGTTTAAGAGAGACTGAGGCAGCCCTTTGCGTCCCTGCACAGCTTTGCTGCTGGGTGTGGTGTCTCTGCTGTCTCCTTTTGTTTTAAAAGGCGTGTCCGTTAGGTCTTTGGGCAAGCCCAATTGCCTCAACAGAGCTTCTATCGCTGCTTCCCCTTCCTCTTCGTCTCCGCTGCTGTTCCCTGCTGCTGCTGCTGCTCCTGTTGCTGCTGCTGCAGTGGCGTGGGGGTTTTGCGTTGCGAAGAGAACGAAGCCCGGTGGTGCGTGTACAGCTGCATCTTTCTTTGCTGTTCCTGCTCCTGTTGTTGCTGCTGCTGCGGCAGCAGCAGCAGCAGCGGAGCCTGAAGCTGAGGCTTTCGTGCTGCTACTTTTCTCTGTCTGCACTAACACCTCAGGGTCTTCAGGTGTAGGGAGATATATACAGCGGCGATGATCTAAGAGAGGGTTGAGGCCCTCTAGGGTTTGCTGCGGCGCCAAGTTTAATTCATCAAGAAGCACCCAGTGGCCTTCTCGCAGACTCCGCGTTAATACCCCGTCTACCCACCTAAACAAAAAACACTCAAACAAACAAAAACCATCCATGAGGCATGCATGCATGCATGCATGCATGTACGCACCCATACATGCATGCATGCGCGCATGCATGCATGCAAACAGGCACACATGCATGCATGCAGGCATGCATCCAATCTACGTATGCACGCAAACAGGCACGCATGAATGCATGCATGTATGCATGCGGGGAGGTATATTTAAGGCCCATACAAATGTGCATGCTGCATAGGCAGCCGAACACGGACGCATATTACGGCGCATGCAGCACACACACACCAAAGCGCATGCAAAGCGCATGCAAAGTGCATGCAAAGTGCATGCAAAGCGCATGCACAAGTGCATGCACAGCCATCTGCCGGTATTGAGCAGCCACACTGAATTCACAGCGAGGCCCTGTAGCAGCCCAGAGTGACCCAGCAGCAAACAGCAAGAATCTTCGTCTGTATCTGAGGTGTCTGTACACCTTAAAACTGCTTACACAAAAGGGGGCTTCTTTCTTTCCACTTGGGGGGTCTGCGCTTGCGTCTCTCCCGCGTCTCCATCTGCTGCTGCTGCAGCAGCAGCAGTTGGTGGTGCTGCTGCTGCTGAAGGGTGCAGCGGCGTGGTGGGTGTAATGAATGTTTTATCTTCTTCGTCTTCAATCTCTGCTGCAGGAACAACAGCCCCTAATAAATCTGCGAGCTCTGTGTCTTGGCTTAGATTAATGCGCACTAACTGCCGCCCACAGAGCCGAGCCAACAGCCCAACAACAAACGTCTTCCCTGCTCCAGGGGGCCCCTCGAGAAGCACTGCATGTCTCCCCGAGCTGCTGCCTAGACAGCCCCCTCCCTGCTGCTGCTGCTGCTGCTGCTGGAGCAGCAACAAACAACGAAGCAGCCGCCCTAGAGACCTCCGCACAGAGGGGGATTGAATCACTTGAGGAAGCTCGTCTACCTGCTGCAGCTGTTGCTGCTGCTGCTGCTGTTGTTGTTTCTGCTGTTGCTGCTGCTGCTGCTGCAATGTACTTCCTGGAGCTTGCTTGTAAGCAGCAAGACTAAAGGGCCCCACCTCCAGCATCTCTTCTTCCTCTGATGCAGCGATGCTGCCCCGAGCAGCAAATGCAGCACAGACCCATGCGAAGCCGTCTTCTTCAAAGGCAGCACACGTCTCACTCCAGCACGGGCCTGCTGCCTTCGCTTGCTGCTGCTGTTGCTGCTGCTGCTTCTGGAGGTCAGGGTGTCTATACAAGCCAAGGTCGGTATACAGGCCACATGCATGCATCTTCAGGAGCAGCAAGACCCCCAAATGGGGCCTCCGGGAAGCATGGGCAGCCGCCTCTGCAACCTGCTGGTGCAGCTTCTGCTGCACCTGCTGCAGCCGCACTTGCTGCTCCTCCTCTGCCATCCCCTGTGACGCATGCAGTGCTGCTAAGTTTGCTTCGGTCTCGAAGTACCCCTCTGCTAGCGCCTGCAGCTGCTGCTGCGGCAGCAGCATGTCTGCACCCACACCCAGGCCGTCCAGCAGCAGCAGACAGCCACCGTGGATCAAGCCCTGCACAGCCCACCGAGCTGCTGCTGTTGCTGCCCCTGCTGCTGGTGTGTTTGGGGCTGCATGCAGTTGAGAAGCAACAAAACGATGTATGAAACAAATCCAGCATAAGGCATCACGGATAGAGAGCGGCTGCTTTATGTGCTGCCGCACCCACCTCAGCAGCAGCACCAGACGTATAGCGAGGCAGCTGAGGAGCAGGTCTCCCTGCGATTCATCTGGCTGCTGTTGCTGCTGCTGTTGCTGCTGCAGCTGCTGCTTTAGCTGCAGCAGCTCCTGCTGCATTTGGGTGTTGTCCTTCTTCATCGCCAGGGCCTCCGCTGCGTACGGCAGCTGCAGCCCGCGAAGGCAGGTGTGCTGCAGCCGCTGCAGCAGCAGCAGCACAGCGTCTGGAGCGTCGAAGCTGAAGGCCGGTACATACACCTCAGTGAGGCGATTTCTTAGAGCAGGAGACAGCTCCCTTTTACCGTAGTCTCCTCCTGGATTCATTGTTGCAATAAAGCGAAACCCTGCTGCTGCGTGGACCTCCACCCCTGCTGTTGCTGCTGCTGCTGCTGCTGCTGGGGCGACGCTGCCGTCCGCAGCCGTAGCAGCAGTAGCAGCCCCTGCTGCAGCACCTTGTTCAGTGAGTAGTATATGTCTGCCGTCCTCTAGCAGGGAATTGAGGCGCTCTAAGACAGCATCTTGACCAAGAGAGGCCTCATCTAATAAGAAGACAGCGCCTTCTTTCATTGCCTTTACAAGGGGCCCGTCCCTCCAGCAAAAGAGACAGCGGGTCCGCTTGCATGCATCACGCCAAGCAGCACATTGTTGCAGTAGCTGATCCGTATAAGCCTTTACCATACCTGCTGCAGCCCCAGCAGCAGCATGCAGCGCAACAACTGAAGCAGCTGCAGCAGCATGCGATGACGCAGCCGATGCCACCGCCTCCTCAGCTGATACTGCTGCTGCTGATGCTGCTGCTGCTGCAGCGGCAAGCGCTTCTCGTGCTGCTGCTGCTGAGCCAGCGTCTTCTTTGGCAGCAGCAGCACTTGTAGCACCTGCTGCATCCCCATGCAGAACACTTCCCTTGGCTTCTGCTCGTGCTGCTGTTGCTGTTGCTGTTGCTGTTGCTGCGCCTGAGTTGAGAGACGACCTCCTGAGTCTCTTCTGCGCTGTATCCTCTACGTCCTGAGCAGCTCCAGCAGCTTCTGCTGCAGCAGCTTCTGTCTCCTTTGCTGCCTGGTTGCGGGTCCCCTTTCGCCGTTTCTTCCTTGCTGCCTTCCCCTCCTGCCCTTGCAGTTGCTGCTGCTGATGCTGCTGCTGCTCCTGCTGCTCCTGCTGCTGCTGCTGACGGTGCTGTCTGAGATGCGTACCACCATCAGCACCAGCAACGTCTTGTTCTTCTTGTTGCTTCTTCTGCTGTTTCTGCTGCTGCTGCTCTTCCTGCTCCTGCTGCTGCAGCTGCAGGAGCAGCTGCTGATGTTTGCTTTGTTCGTGCTGCAGTGTGCGCCTCGCTACTTCAAGCTGTTGTCTGAAATGGGTCTCCTTTTCAGCGGCTGCTGCTGCTGCTGCATCTGTCTCCTGCTGCAGCAGCTGCTGCGCCTGTCTGGCTGCCTTGCTGAGGGCCCTACAAAAGAGATTGGTGTCCTCTTCCCCCATCTCTAAGCCCCCCCTATCCTTATGGGCTCGGAAGCAAATCACGACGTCTGCTGCTGCTGCCTGCAGCAGCTCGTAGAAGCGCAGCAGCAAACCATCAGCTGTCACGCTCTTCTCCTCAGAACCGCCTTCCCCTGCAGCAGCTGTTGCTGTTGCTCCTGCTGCCGTTGCTGCTGCTGCTGTTGCTGAAGACTGCGTCAGTTGCCCGCAGTTGGGAAGCAAGTCCTCTGGGGGAGGCGGGTGCTCGAGCATCTCCAGAATCTGCTGCAGCAGCGCAGCAGCGTGCTGCTGCTGCTGCAGCAGCTCGCCTTGATGCACAGGAGTCATGCAGCCAAGGAGCTCCGAGGCCTCCATTTGCAGGTGGCAGTTATAAACGTACATGCCGTTAGGAGACAGTCGCTGCACAAGGCCCTTTTCTAGTGCTGTGGGGCCTTCCTCCCCCTGCTGCTGCAGCAGCTGCTGCTGCTGCTGCTGCGGCTCCTGCTGCAGCGTCCATGCAACCAACTCGCACACTGCAGTCTTACCTGCCCCTGTGTCTCCAACGAGCAGCAAATTCTCCCCAGCCACCATGGCCCTCAGGGTTAAGGCTAAGAGCCTGAGGGAAGCAGCGTTGAAGGAAAAGGGCAGGAAGGCGGGTAGCTCTGGTGCAGCAGCAGCAGCAGCAGCAGCAGTGGCTGCTGCTGCTGCTGCTGCTGCCTCGGCTTCCCTACGCACACCTTCCGGCGCATCGCTTAGAGCCGCCGCATGTGCTGCAGCAGCCGCTGCTGCTGCTGCTGCGTCTGCTGCTGCTTGCTGCTGCTGCAAGCAGCGTTGAATCTTTCTGTGCAGCAAGCGGCGAAAGGCAGAGACATAAGGATCTGCAGCAAAAGTAAAGTGCAGGTGTTTGGGTTTTGTTGCTGTCGACCCTAAACAATGACGCTCTAAAGACGCACGAACAACAGCTCTATCTTCTTCTGTACGGAGTCTCTCCCCTACCAGCAGCCATCCCTCTAACGCCACCTCTTCAAAAGACATCGGCGCATACTCATGCACCTGCTCCTGCTGCTGCTTCTGCTGCTGCTTCTGCTGCTGCTGCTGCTGCTGCTGCAGGTGCTGAAATGGGGAGTTCCCCACCCGGCGGCCCCACCTAATGAGGTCGCGGATAGTCATAAAGCCGTGTGCGCCAAAGAAGACCTGCAGCAAACAGACCCAGCAGCAACAGCAGCAGCAGCAATAGCAACGGCAACAGCAGCAGCATTGATAGACCCCATGAGGCTGTCTTCTGTTCCTTCTCTCCTCTGTCTACTTCGTTTGCTGCTCGTGCACTTGCTGCTAGCAGCAGCACCCTCGGGTATAAAGAGTCACTTAAAAAGAAGCAAATGAGCAGAAGGAAAAGAAATAGAAGCATCAGCATTAAGAGCTTACAGAGCTGTTTGCGCGGCGCTGCTGCAGGTCAACATACACCCGAAGCATAGGCTCTGCCCTGGAGAGCGGCAGACTGCAACGAGTAAGCAGAATTTGCTGCAGATCATTTGTAGTAAATGGTGTTACTTGTAGCTGCATAAAGCGATTTGCTAAGGCCCTACTAAGCACCTTCCGGCCTCCATACACCCCAATACCTGCAGGGTTCTGGGTACCGAAGAGCTGAAAGTCTTCATGCGCCTTCACCACCTCCCCTGTTGCAGGGAGGAGCAGCTCCCTGTTGCTATCGAGCAAACGATTTAGTGCTGCATCCATCGTCCAGCAGCAGCAGCAGCAGCAGCAGCAGCAACAGCAGCAGCAGCAGCAGCAGCAACACGCGCAGAGAATGCAGCGCCTCGCCATTACACAGCCCTACATATTCCACTCACATTTTTCTTTACGGAGCCGTTCACCAGCAATACCAGTAGTAGCAGCAGCAGTGCAACCAGCAGCAGCAACAGCAGCAGCAGTAGAACCAGTAGCAGCAATAGCAGCAGCAGTAGAACCAGTAGCAGCAATAGCAGCAGAACCAGTAGCAGCAGCGGCAGCAGAACCAGTAGAAGCAGCAGCAGCATCAGCATTAGCGATTTGCTGCGTACCTTCTAAGACATCGGAGGGAGCGAGATTGAGCTCATCAATGAGGACCCACCAGCCATTGCGTACAGCAACAGTGAGGGGCCCCTCAGTGAAGACAAGGCGGCCCTCTGCATCTGGGGCGTAGCTTCCTACATAATCTTGAACATCAGTATTTTCATGATTGTTTATGCGAATGCACTTGTGCCCTGTTGCTGCTGCTAGAAAAGAAACCAAAGACGTCTTCCCGCAAGACGTAGGCCCCTCCAGCAGCAAAGCGCAGCGGCTTCCACTCAACAGCCGCAGCATGCGGTGTACGTACACCTCAGAATTCGGTGTCAGCACAAACCGCCGCTTCAGGGCCTCCACATCTATTGGCTCCCCTCCTGTACACCCCAAAGGCATCCGCATACACCCCAACTCGCTGCACAACCCAAAGCCCTGCCAGTCCAAGAAGGTTTCACTAGAAGCCCTCTGTGCATGCATGCATTCATGCATACACTCTAGGTGTGTAGCATATATATATATATATATATATATATATATATATATATATATAT